CGCCCCCAAGGGCCTCCGGGGAGCGGCGGAGCGGCGAGGCGGCGGGGTGGTGCGGCGTGGCGGGGTACGTAAAGGGTGCGGTGTGGGGCGGCCGCCGTGCATGCCCTCGCCCGGTGCACTCAACGACCTCTAGGACCTCGTCACGCCCCCGAACACGAGGACCTGCGACACACTCTAAGTAATCGTGTTAACCGGGATTGAGAATTTCCGCAATAATAACGGATGTTGCCGATTCCAACGAGGAAGACTTCCTGGGGGTGAAAATAAAAAGGGCCCCAGCCCCAGGTGACCGTAATAAAACTTCATTACCCTCCACCGCCCCCTCCATCCCCGCTCCCGCTCCCCAAAGGCCCGCGCCGGGCACCCTGCTCTCGACCCGCCCGATGAGAAGCAATCATATTGACCCCGAGAGTCTTTAAAAAAATCGAGAGGGGTCCTTTTCACTTTGTTTTCGATGCCATTCTGATTGGCCCTGGACAAAAAAAAGAGTGCGATCGGGTGGGCCGTGGCGGGGCGGAGGTAGACATCGTTGGCTGGCCAGCAGAGGCTCATTGCAGGAAATAATTATTCATGAATGGAATGATTCGACTTGTGTTGTGGGACTGGTGGGGCGTAGCGGCGATGGGGCGGGGCGGCTGGGAGGAGGACTGGCCACGCACCGCCGGGGAAGTCTTGGCAAGAGAAACAGAAACGCTTTTTCCGATGAATCAATGCGTCTTCGGCTCGGACGGAGGGGTTCGCTCAGCCCGACCAGTAAACCTAGGCAAACGTTGAAAAAAACGGCTCTTGACACTGTAAAAACTGCAATCTCGTAAAAACAGCCCAGTAGAACACAGCTGAGCTGATTTTCAAGAGAATTCACACTAAGGTGTTGTGATAGCAAATTGTCACAATAGCACCCCCGTTTATTTCGCCGTTTGCCAGTGCGCAAAAGGGAGAGAAGTATGCACTAAAATCGGTTCGGCGAGCGAATCAGTGGACCTGAGGGGGGGTTGGGGAGCGGCTCGCTCCTTCATAAAAAGACCGTAAAAAATGCATAGAGACAAAGACGACGAAAACAAGGGCATAATAATATCGTTCGGACAACAATGCGCCGCAGTCCACGTATCGAACTCCCCCCTCTCCCCTCCACCGGCCAGTCATTGTTTGCATTTTATTCCGATTACTTTCCGGCCTGCGGGGCCGGCCCGCCCGCAGCCCGCCCCTCTGGTCCTGGTGGTCGGCGAGACGCACAGCGGATGCTGCCCGCCCGGCGGCCGCCCGGCAGGTCATTGCGTCCAGAGTCAACGACGCCTGACGGCTGGCGCACCGGACCCGCACGACGACGCACATAGTGCGGCAAACGACCAAATTACAGTCTCCTCGATCGGATATCTTAAGCCACCCCCAAAACACAAAAGTGCCAAAAACAGTGTAACATTTTTGTTTTACAAAAATGAAATAGTGATAGAAAACAAATGGTGGTGGTGAGGAGGGGGGGATTTTTTGACTTGGCACATTTAATCCGTTTTTGGCGGCCCTTTGTGCGGCTCGCGGCGCGTGGCGCTGCCAAAATGCCGCAATGATGTGACCGTCTTAAAAGCTCCGGACTGGCGGCCCCCGCCGCGCGGGGAGGCCCTCTCTCTCGCTCTCTCTCCTTTATCTTGGGGGCTAACTCCTTTTTAATGACGGCCTGTCTTAGTCCGGACCACGGCGTCCTCCCGGACGGGGCCGGGCACCCCTGCACCTGTCAGCCTGGAGAGCCTGCCCGGAGCCTGGAGAGCCTTCCTGGAGCCTGCAGCCTGTAGAGGGGCTGGTGGTGCCGAACACGCGAGAGTGATGAGGCCGGAGGATGCCACGGCCGTGGAGAGTCGCCGCCACGGGAGGTCGGCCTTGTTTCTCATATTTTTTTTGAAGTATAACGAAATTTGTAAGAATGCCTAAAGCGTTAATGAGACCTCTTGCC